TAAATCCTCTATACAAGCCAAAAAATTGATTATGTAATATGTGATTTAGGTTCATTGTAATTGTTAAGGAAAAATGAAATAAAGAGACTGACAAAAGAAAAAAAAGGTTTGGTGAGGGGCCAGCAGATGGCATAATGGTTATGTCACTAGACTCCCATGTGGTCAACCACAGTGTGAGTCCTGGGAAACTCCCGCTGGGTGCATGTGCACGCATGCCCAAGATCTGGGGAGGAGAGTGGAGGAGAAGAGATTGTGGCATGGTCATCCCTCCTGGGAGTGATTTCTTCTTCTCCTTGTCACTGTCTCTGTTTCTCTCTCTCTGGCAAGCACACATGTCCTATGGCAAAAACCTCTAAAAAATATTTTGGTGAAAAGAGTGATGCAATTACTAAAGTACTCAATATAAGAGACATAAATTGGAAGTCACCAAGAATATTTGTGCTTTGAGGTGAGCTGTTCAGACTCTTGATGACAGACCTTCGTGCCACACAATCATTTCCCAGTCGTTCTCCTATGCCCATGTGGATATCTGGTGGGACTCCTTAAAATTTACTGTTGGGACCAGCACGTGGCATGGTGGTTAAGGTGCTGACTCCCACCTGGACAACCATGGTTCGAGTCCCAGACCTGGTGGCTTGGTTTCTCACTTCCCTGCCCGCCCCCCATTTCTTCTGGCAAGTTCACATGCCCTGTAGCAAGTTAAAAATAATAACGGTAAATACAATTAAGTAAATATTCTGTAAAAACAAAACTACTGCCAGCAAATGGCCTATTGGTTATATCACTGGACTCCCATGTAGTTGACCACACTGAGTCCTAAACCTACTGGTTTAAAACTCACACTGGGTGTGCATGTGTGTGCCCAAAATCTGGAGAGGATAATGGAGAAGGGATTGCAGCAGAGCCATCCTCCCAGGGGGTGATTTCTTGCTTTCTATTTCTCTGGTGAGCACACATACCCTAGAACGAAAATCTATTAAAAAATAAAGAAAAAGAAAAAAAGGAAAGAAAAATGAAACCTGCCTGTGGCAGCCAGTCTCCAAAATGGTCCTGGAATCCACACCCCTTGGTGGTCCCTTTCCACACTGTGCCAGGTTGGTATGTGTGACCAGCAGAATATGGAAAAGGGTTGGCATGCCACTCCTAAGGTTAGGTGATCAGGTTACTGTTACGAGAAACTTGGACTCTCTCTTTCTGTCTTAGACCATTTGTTTTGGGAAAAGCAAGCTGCCTGTGAAACACCCTAGGAGAGGCCCACAGGAGAGGACCTGGGAGCTGCCCACACATTGACGAGCTTGGAAGCAGGAGCAGCAGCATCACCTGACAGCTTGATGTAACTTCTGAAGAGACCTTGAGTCAGAACTACCCAGCCAGGCCACTCCTGACTTTCAGAAACCATGTGATAGAGTATGTGTTGTTTATTATTATTTTTTGCTATAGGGCATGGTGCTCCCTGGAGACAGAGAGAGGGTGCTCTGTACCAGTGCTCACCATCCCTTCATACCATCTGTTCCTAGTTACAGGAAATTAAAATTTTAATAAGTTTTACCTTTCTGTATATTTGAACATTAGTTTTATTAATATACAATACTTAGAAATTTTAGTTTGATTCCTTAATTGGTAAATATGGTTAACTATGGGATATAGTTTCTGCTGCTAGTGAATGTCTTTTTTTTTTTTGGAGACCTTTTTTGCTATAGGGCGTGTGCACTCGCCAGACAGACAGAGACAGAGAGACAGAAAGCAAGAAATCACCACCCAGGGGGGTTGGCCATGTCGCAATCCCTTCTCCTCCATTCTCCTCTTGGGATCTTGGGCACGCACGCACACGCGCCCAGTGTTGAGTTTAAGCCACCGGGTCCAGGACTCGAACTGCGGTCGACTACATGGAGTCCAGCAACATAGCCATTACACTAACTGCTGGTCCCAGTGAATGTCTTTATATAGTGACTAATTTGAGAGTAATGTATGCTCTGTAAGTTTGTTTTATATTGACAGGGCTGGCAGGTGCCATGGTAGTTAAGGTGTTGAACTTTCACATGGTCAACTGTGGTTCAAGTCTTGGATCTGGTGGCTTGTTTCTCATCTGGTCAAATTAAATAAAAATTCAAAAAATTCATTAAATTGTACTTTTTAAGAGGTTTTTTGCCTTAGGGAGCGTGCTCTCGCTGGAGAGACAGAGACAGTAAGAGGGAAAGTGAGATAGCACCCCCAGGGGGTATGGCCATGCTGCGATCCCTTTTTCTCCATTCTCTTCCCAGGATCTTGGGCATGCATGCATACTCACCTGGTGTGATCCTCAAGTCACCAGGTCTGGGACTGGAACCGTGGTTAGCCATGTGAAAGACTGCTACACTATCTACTGGCTCCTAAATTGAACAAAAAAGAAACTGTAGAGGAGCAGCCAAGAATCTTCATAATAAGATTATACTAATCTTAGGTTTTTTTTGGGGGGGAGGGGGAGGTTTTTGCTATACGGTGCACCCGCTTGCCAGAAAGATAAAGACAGAGAGATAGAAAGCGAGAAATCACCCCCCAGGGGGATGGTCACATCGCAATCCCTTCTCTTCCATTCTTCTCTTGGGATCTTGGGCATGCATGCACATGTGCCCAGCCTGAGTTTAAGCTACTGGGTCCAGGACTCCAACTGCAGTTGACTACATGGGAGTTCAGTGACATAGCCATTATGCTAACTGCTGGTCCCCAGTTGAGCTGTTTTTGACCAAGAATCAGGAGCCTAAGGTCTAAGGAATTCATTTATTGCTTTAGTTTGCACTTGTCCAAAGGCATTTTATTACTGTGTACTTCAGCTTTCTTTTCCCTCTAAAATAATAATAATAATAATCCTGAGGTGAATGTGGCAGCGACAGGCCTCTATAATATCCAACTATTTCTGCTACCAACAGTTATCAGAGTGTATTTCTATGTCCTATTTTAAAAAATATTTACTTATAGAGACTTTTGCTATAGGGTGCATGTGCTCGCCAGACAGACAGATAGACGGGGAGAGAGAAAGTGAGAAATCTCCCCCCACCGGGGGGATGGCCATGCCACAATTCCTTCTCCTCCATTCTCCTCTCAGGATTTTGGGCATGCACATACATACACCCAGTGTGAATTTCTTTTTCTTTCTTTCTTAAAGAATTACTTTATTAGGGCCAACAGGTGGAGTGGTGGTTAAAGGTGCTGGATTTCCACATGGCTAACCACGGTTCGCATCCCAGACCTGGTGGCTTGCTTTCTCACTTTCTCTCTTTCGCTCACTGGTCAAATTAAAATAAATAAGTAAATATATTTCTTAAAAAAAGAATTATTTTGTTTAACTTTATTTATTTATATTAATTTGACCAGAGAGGGGCAGAGTGAGAGAGAGAGAGAGGGAAAGAAAGAAATCAAGCTGCCAAGTTCAGGACTTGAACTGTGGTAGAACATGTGGGAGTCCAGTGCCCTTAAACACCATGCCACCTGCCAGAACCCCTTTTTGTTTTTGTTTTTTTTTTT